AGCAGAGGTCCGAGACGGGGCGTGACGGGGGGAGGGATGGGGTCCGGCGGGACCCCGAGGGAGGGTGCAGGGCCGGGCGCACCCGAAGCCTCTGCTGGGGTAGGCGAGGGACCACAAACGACGCCCGTGAGATACTCATGCGTCCCGGAGGGGTGCGAAGGAGAGCGGTGCGGGGCAAAACACCGACCGTAGCATTCCGCCGGGGAAAGCGGCAACATCTCCCGCTCCGGAGCTCGGTTCCCCCCGCGACGAACCGTGCCGCTCCGGGAATGAGCCCCATTCCTGCGAGCTCCGCGCAGCGGTCGCCAAGCGCGCACGGAGGCGCGCAGCGGGAACGGGCATGGCCGCGGAAGCCTCATTGCCCCATCCCTGCCAGCCCCGGCCATCTGGTGCCGCAACCTGTCAAAGCAGAGCTGGTAAACGTGACCTGAGCTGCGAAAAGCAAAATAAATATTCGCAAAGGAGATACGGAATTAATACGATCTTAAATAAATAAGTATTCCACCAGGGCAAGATGAATATTGACCGAGACAGTGTGGTTGGTTTTCAGGCCATCGGAAATGTGGCTAATGAGTCAGGCCCGTTGCTGCACGGCATCTAGTCACCCACTTTCTTTACACTTTCTTGAACAACACTTGTGTAGTAGGAGCATCGTTTTTTCCAGATGCTTTTGCACATGTGCAGGAGGGGACAAGGGGAGGCCATACAGAGCTCCCCCACCTGTTCGAGTTTAGATGCTGGAGCAGGTTCTGTTCAACGGGAGCTGCCCTCGACATGGAACAAGTTCTGCCCTGATTTACACCCCCTACGCATGAGTATTGGCTCGGTTAGGTTTAAGGGCTTAAATCCTTATCCTATCGAAATAAGCAGTGAACCTCCCCGGGAGCAGAGTAGGGTCAAAGCTAAGGTCGGGAAGAAACCGGTCCCGTAGCGCAGCGCTGCCCGCTCGCTGCAGGTCCGGGGCCCGAGGCGCTGGGCGGGAGGTGGCGGCCTTAGGGAGATGTCAGGTTGTGCTCCCCGATGCTACCTCGGTAGAGGCACGTGGAGGAGAGCCCGCTCGGCAAAAGCCGCAGTTTCCTATCAGAATCACACCTCCCAGGACTGGGCTTGCTCCACGAAACGTACAAACGGGCGGAAGCACCGCAGGAGGGAGCAGAGCGGGGCGGGGGGTGGAGAGGCCGAGCCCCGAGGGGTGAGCGGCGGCTCGGAGCTGTCCCCCACAAGCCTCCCAACGGACCCTATTTATAGATTTCCCTGCGAGGTAAGCAATCTCTGTCACTTCAGCGCACAGTTCGCCCCGCCAATTATTCTGCACGCTAATCTCTCTGGATAGGCTTCTTTCCTTCCTTCATTACCTCATTCCCTCCTTCCCTTGACGTCAACTCACGTTCATTACTGAAGTGGCTGCTGGAAGTGAGAGGATTTTGTTGTCCCACGTCCAGTGCTGATTAACCAGAGATGATATAACCGGCCTACGAGGGGAGCCGCT